CTCATCATCGCTTCCTCATAGTTCGCAAGTTCATCATGGTCTAGTAACATGACTTCCAGAACAGGATTACCGTACCACTCTGGTGCGGATTTCACTCTGGTTTACCTACGAGATTCAGTAGTAACTTGATCTGAAGTTACATGATCATCATCATTAGCTTCCTCACTAATTGGTGTAATAGTCACAAGAACAGAATTTCTGTGATGAACTACTTTCCAATAAGGAAGAAGGTACAATTACCTTATCAAGTTTTCTACTTTCCTCCCACTCACTTCTTTCGAGAGAAACTCCTTCTCTAGAAAGTTTCCGAATTTAGCAACAAAAGTCTTGCCTTCAGATCTGTGATAGAAGGTGTATCCAATAGTTTCCTTTGGATATCCTATGAAGACACATTTCTCCGATTTGGGTTTGAGCTTATCAGGTTGAAACTTTTTCACATAAGCATCACAACCCCAAACTTTAAGAAACGACAACTTTGGTTCAACACTAATCTCGAAATTATAGGGAGTGTGCGATGATGATCATATCAATCTTGGAACCACTTCCAACACACATCGTCACTTTACCCTTAACTAGTCTCTATTTATTCTGCAACTCCCGTTTCGAGTTACTAATCTTAGCAACTGAACTAGTATCAAATACTGAGGGTTTGCTATAAACACTAGTAAAGTACACATCAATAACATGTATATCAAATATACTTATGTTCATTTTGCCATCCTTCTTATCCGCCAATCACTTGGGGTAGTTCCGCTTCCAGTGACCAGCCCCTTTGCAGTAGAAGCACTTAGTCTCAGGCTTAGGACCAGACTTGGGCTTCTTCACTTGAGCAGCAACTTGCTTGCTGTTCTTCTTGAAGTTCCCCTTCTTCCCTCTGCCCTTTTCTTGAAACTAGTGATCTTGTCAACCATCAATACTTGATGTTTTTCTTGATTTCTACCTTCGTTGATTTCAGCATCACGAAGAGCTTGGGAGTTGTTACTGTTATCCCTTGAATATTATAGTTCATCACGAAGTTCTACTAACTTGGTGATGGTGACTAGAGAATTCTGTCAATCACTATCTTATCTGGAAGATTAACTCCCGCTTGATTCAAGCGATTGTAGTACCCAGACAATCTGAGCACATGCTCACTAGTTGAGCGATTCTCCTCCATCTTTTAGCTATAGAACTTGTTGGAGACTTCATATCTCTCAACTCGGGTATTTGCTTGAAATATTAACTTCAACTCCTGGAACATCTCATATGGTCCATGACGTTCAAAACGTCTTTGAAGTCCCGATTCTAAGCCGTTAAGCATGGTGCACTTAAACTATCAAGTAGTCATCATATTGAGCTAGCCAAACGTTCATAACGTCTGCATCTGCTCCTGCAATAGGTCTGTCACCTAGCGGTGCATCAAGGACATAATTCTTCTGTGCATCAATGAGGATAAACCTCAGATCACGGATCCAATCCGCATTATTGCTACTAACATATTTCAACACAATTTTCTCTAGGAACATATCAAAATAAACATATGAAAGCAACAACGCGAGCTATTGATCTACAACATAGATATGCTAATACTATCAGGACTAAGTTCATGATAAATTAAAGTTCAATTAATCATATTACTTAAGAACTCCCACTTAGATAGACATCCCTCTAATCCTCTAAGTGATCACGTGATCCAAATCAACTAAACCATAACCGATCATCACGTGAGATGGAGTAGTTTTCAATGGTGAACATCGTTATGTTGATCATATCTACTATATGATTCACGCTCGACCTTTCGGTCTCCGTGTTCCGAGGCCATATCTGCATATGCTAGGCTCGTCAAGTTTAACCTGAGTATTCTGCATGTGCAAAACTGTTTTGCACCCGTTGTAGATGGACGTAGAGCTTATGACACCCGATCATCACGTGGTGTCTGGGCACGACGAACTTTGGCAACGGTGCATACTCAGGGAGAACACTTCTTGATAATTTAGTGAGAGATCATCTTATAATGCTACCGTCAATCAAAGCAAGATAAGATGCATAAAAGATAAACATCACATGCAATCAATATAAGTGATATGATATGGCCATCATCATCTTGTGCCTATGATCTCCATCTCCGAAGCACCGTCATGATCACCATCGTCACCGGCGTGACACCTTGATCTCCATCGTAGCATCGTTGTCGTCTCACCAAGCTTGTGCTTCTACAACTATCGCTACCGCTTAGTGATAAAAGTAAAGCATTACATCGCGATTGCATTGCATACAATAAAACGACAACCATAAGGCTCCTGCCAGTTGCCGATAACTCGGTTACAAAACATGATCATCTCATACAATAAAATTCAGCATCATGCCTTGACCATATCACATCACAACATGCCCTGCAAAAACAAGTTAGACGTCCTCTACTTTGTTGTTGCAAGTTTTACGTGGCTGCTACGAGCTTAAGCAAGAACCAATCTCACCTACGCATCAAAACCACAACGATAGTTTGTCAAATAGACTCCGTTTTAACCTTCGCAAGGACCGGGCGTAGCCACACTTGGTTCAACTAAAGTTGGAGAGACAGTCGCCCGCAAGCCACCTATGTGCAAAGCACGTCGGGGGAACCGGTCTCGCGTAAGCGTACGCGTAATGTTGGTCCGGGTCGTCTCGTCCAACAATGCCGCCGAACCAAAGTATGACATGCTGGTAGGCAGTATGACTTATATCGCCCACAACTTACTTGTGTTCTACTCGTGCATATAACATCAACATAAATAACCTAGGCTCGGATGCCACTGTTGGGTTTCGTAGTAATTTCAAAAAAATTCCTACGCACACGCAAGATCATGTGATGCATAGCAACGAGAGGGGAGAGTGTTGTCTACGTACCCAACGCAGACCGACTGCGGAAGCGCTGACACGACGTAGAGGAAGTAGTCGTACGTCTTCACGATCCAACCGATCAAGCACCGAAACTACGGCACCTCCGAGTTCGAGCACACGTTCAGCTCGATGACGATCCCCGGACTCCGATCCAGCAAAGTGTCGGGGAAGAGTTCCGTCAGCACGACGGCGTGGTGACGATCTTGATGAACTACAGCAGCAGGGCTTCGCCTAAACTCCGCTACAGTATTATTGAGGAATATGGTGGCTGGGGGCACCGCACACGGCTAAGAAATAGATCACGTGGATCAACTTCTGTGTTTCTGGGGTGCCTCTGCCTCAGTATATAAAGGAGCCAAGGGGGAGGGGACGCCGGCCAGGAGGAGGGCGCAGGAGGAGTCCTACTCCTTCCGGGAGTAGGACCCCCCTAGTCCTAGTTGGACTAGGATTCACTGAGGGGGAAAGAGGGAGAGGGGGCCCGGCCACCTCTCCTAGTCCTAATAGGACTAGGGGAAGGGGGAGGCGCGCAGCCACCTTGGGCTGCCCCTTTATCCTTTCCACTAAAGCCCATTAAGGCCCATATGGCTCCCAGGGGGTTCTGGTAACCTCTCGGTACTCCGGTAAAATCCCGATTTCACCTGGAACACTTCCGATATCCAAACATAGGCTTCCAATATATCAATCTTTACGTCTCGACCATTTCGAGACTCCTCGTCATGTCCGTGATCACATCCGGGACTCCGAACAACCTTCGGTACATCAAAATGCATAAACTCATAATATAACTGTCATCGTAACCTTAAGCGTGTGGACCCTACGGGTTCGAGAACAATGTAGACATGACCAAGACACGTCTCCGGTCAATAACCAATAGCGGGACCTGGATGCCCATATTGGCTCCTACATATTCTACGAAGATCTTTATCGGTCAGACCGCATAACAACATACGTTGTTCCCTTTGTCATCGGTATGTTACTTTCCCGAGATTCGATCGTCGGTATCCAATACCTAGTTCAATCTCATTACTGGCAAGTCTCTTTACTCGTTCCGTAATACATCATCTCACAACTAACATATTAGTTGTAATGCTTGCAAGGCTTAAGTGATGTGCATTACCGAGAGGGCCCAGAGATACCTCTCCGACAATCGGAGTGACAAATCCTAATCTCGAAATACGCCAACCCAATATCTTCCTTTGGAGACACCTGTAATGCTCCTTTATAATCACCCAGTTACGTTGTGACGTTTGGTAGCACCCAAAGTGTTCCTCCGGCAAACGGGAGTTGCATAATCTCATAGTCATAGGAACATGTATAAGTCATGAAGAAAGCAATAGCAATATACTAAACGATCGGGTGCTAAGCTAATGGAATGGGTCATGTCAATCAGATCATTCAACTAATGATGTGATCCCGTTAATCAAATAACAACTTCTTTGTCTATGGTTAGGAAACATAACCATCTTTGATTAACGAGCTAGTCAAGTGGAGGCATACTAGTGACACTCTGTTTGTCTATGTATTCACACATGTATTATGTTTCTGGTTAATACAATTCTAGCAAGAATAATAAACATTTATCATGAAATAAGGAAATAAATAATAACTTTATTATTGCCTCTAGGGCATATTTCCTTCATGCACGATTGACGTTACCGAAAGTTGGATTGGCATTGTTCTTAGCTTCCTGACCAGTAGCTTGTTGGCGGACTGTTCGGCGAACGCTTTTATTAAATAAAGCTCTCAGTGTTTCCCCACAAAAAATTTTATAAGAGTATAAGGTGGGCCGACCCGATTGACACAAATCTTGTTTGAGACCGACCCACATGACCCACTGGCCTTGAATTTTTGGGTCGGGTTAGTGACCGGGCCGGCAAACCCAGCCCATTCCCATCGTGTGCTGACCTGCCCAACATTTCACGTTTCTTCTTCTCGTCTAAAGTTTGCAGTAAGGTTTACGTTATCGCGCTCAGTTTCCAGCGTCGCGTCGGGGGCTAAGCCAGATCCATCATGTACGGTCGCGCCGCGCCCACCCCAACGCCGGCCTACCTCGCATGCACCACTGGCTAATTACACTACGCGACGCAATGTCGGCGTGCAGCCCCCAATGCAATCCCCCCACTCATCAGACAGCACAGCAGATGAGTAGTATGATGGCGGCAGGGAGCAGGAGGATGCTCGTCCCTCTCAGGCCACGGGCGCTCTCGCAGCAACGGAAAATCCTTGCCGGCCTCGCCGCCGCCTTCGCGGTCACCCTACTCTCCGTCGTCCTCCTGATCTCCTCCCTTCCCGCCGCCTCCTCTCCACCATCCCGCCGGCGCCACGGCATCCACGCAGCATCCACGACCGCGCGTGGTCCTCCCGCTCACTGCGGCGCGATGAGCGCGAGCCTGGGGGAGTTCGGCGACATGATGGTGTCCATGCTCCCGAGGGACCTCGCCTTCACCGCCTTCGTGGCCTCGCCGGAGTCGTTCCGCCGCGTCCTCGGGCTGCGGCACAACGACAGCGCTGCGGGGCTGAAGGCCAGCGACGACACCTATGCCGTCGTCTCTCGCGTGCTCGGCTTCTCCGCCGTCCCTCTGCGCCTGCGCTCCGGGGACGTGGCTCTGCACGGGACGGCGCGGCTCCTGGACCTGGACTCCGTGTCCGGGCTGAAGGTGCACGCGTGGAGGGACGTGGACGGGGCTCTCGTCGTCAACGGCGTGCGGTCGGAGTGCGTCGATATCGTCAGGGACGAGACCGTGGTCCATGTCATGGCGGGGGTCCTCATGGACGCCGAGTTCGAGCGATCTCTTTCCCTTCAGAATTAGAGGGTTGATGATCAACCTCGTATTAACATCATCCTGAATTCCTGATGAAATGTGTTTGTGCTTTTTTCAACAGATTTGATTAGAGTACATAGTAAAACCGAAGTTAATTTGTTGCCTTCGGGATCTGTAGTGTAGGGTGCTGTGCAATCCGTGCTGTCCATATTGTCGTCCACTTCCTCTCCGTCGAGTTCAGCTTCTTCTCGGGACTTGAATTAACGAACACCAGGTGAACAGCTAGGCGTCGGACGTGCGTGACGGCGGACGTCCTTTGCGCTGCTTGGCAATATGTGGCGTCGTGCATAGACGGTTCTAACCCTAGGGTCACTCCTCTGGGGCGACTCGGGTGGCCCCAACCCTAGCGCTGCCGGCCCCCTTTCCCCTCCCTCCGGATCTCGCCGCCACAAGAGATAGCCGCCACAAGAGATAGCCGCCGGCAAGCCTGCGCGGCATCGAGGAAGGTGGCGGCAGGGCTGGCTGCTCCTCGCGCAAAGAGCTTAGTGTGCCGGGGCGGCGGCCGCGGTCAAGGTGGGGGGCGCCTTCCCTGACGGAGGGTGGCTGCGGGTGTGTGGCCGGTCTTCCTCGGCTTGCGTGGGCGGCGAGGACCCGGTGGTGGGATCTCATGGCGGCCGTGATTCCGCCGGCCGGCCGCCAGGTCTGGATCGACCTGCGCCAGCTTCATCTCCTTCACCTTATCCCGCTCGATCTGGGCTTCGGTGTGGCCTTGCTCGCCGGATCCGGGTGGTGGGCGGTGATTGGATGGTGGGGCTCTTGGGATCGGGGGAAACCCTTGGTCGGCGACGGCGGCCACAACGACGACGACGACGACGCGGCGCCGATCCACTCCTTGGAGTCTTCGTTGAGATGCTGACAGGGATGGCGGTGGCCCGTGCACGAGAGATGGAGGTCTTCGATCAAATCTGGGTGAAAACCTGCTATTGGCTATTTCCAAGGCCGGCGATGGCGACGCTGCCTGCGTCGTTCCCTTCCTGAAGGCATCGCCGTGGAGAAGTTCAAGGCCACTCTCTGCTACCTTCGGGGGAAACCCTAGATCAGTAGATCGGATGACGGCGGCTCTCTGGTGTCGTTTTCCCCTTGCGGGCGTCATTTTTGGAGGTGCACACGGGCTCGATGGACCGGAGGACGGAGTCTTTAGTGGAGCGATGCTTCATCTTCCACATTGATGGTGGCGGTTCTCAGCGGCGTGCGCTGTGGAGTCTCGACGTCTGATGCGAGGAGATGGACTCGCGCAGGAGGAGGAAGCTGTCTGGCGTCATGGTGGCGTTGATGGCAGAGAGGCCTGGCAAGGTTGGTGCATCAGTTATACTCTGAGGATGGACCGAGTGAAGATGGAGGTGACGGCCCTTGCAGCTGCGGTGCTCAATGGGAGTATGCCAGACCGGTGTGAGACCCAATCTAGGTAGTGGCTTCGATGGGACACCCGGCTTTAGATGTTAGGCTTTGTTGCGATGTATGTTTGGTATTAGGCCCGGACATTCGGCACGCCTTCATCATGGGGATAGGAATAGCAACGGTGTTGCCAAGATGATGGCTTCAGGCTTATTGATGTATCATCTTGTATGGTCTTTGTGAATAATTAATAATATGGATGAATGCATCTCCAGATGCAGAGGCCGGGATACGTCCTTCTTTTCTAAAAAAAATCAGTTGATCTTGTGACTGTCTGTTCCTTACGTCGAGATATGTGTCGGCTTCCGGAGCAACTAGTTGGAGGGTAACCTTCGCAGGGGAAAAAATTATATGAGACCAGGTCTCACGGTTAGCAGGTGAGACCCGTCCTGATGAATGACACGTGGCATTCACAAATCACAAAGCATCTAATCTCTCCCCCCCTGATTTTAAGTGAGGGGTGGGGGTGATTTGTGATTTGTGAATGCCATGTGTCATCCATCAGGATAGGTCTCGCGTGAGACTTGGTCTCATAGAATTCTTTTCCCTCCGCAGGGGCACTTTTGCTAATACCGCCGGAGTGCCCCAGCGCACCATGTGGTGTGTCTCAACGCGCAGCGTATCAACTGCTGGGCGCTTCGCCCATTAACTTTTTTTAAAAGGAGTATCTTGGTTTTTTGTTTGGTTTTTTAGGTTCTTATCTATTAGGTATGTGAGGGCACAATGAGTGAGGCATAGTTGTGTTTTTCGCGTGAAAGTTTCCAAAGCATGATGCACATATGTATTTTTGTATGAAGCACAGTTATACTTCTAACGTGAAAGCACCATGCTTCCTAAAAATGAAACACAGATGTGCTTTTGCGTAAATACATGGTGCTTTACATGAAAGCACACTTGTGCTTCACTTTTTGAGGAAGCTGATTTTGTGCTTCCGCACGTGTGTGTGCTTCTCACGTTAAAGCATAAAATGTGTTTCCACAAAAGTAAAGTATAGTTAGTACAATTTTCAAGTAGGGGTCAGTACAATTTTTAAATAGTTTTGAAGCACAGATTTTCAACAGCAAAAAGAATCATTGAAACCTATTAATATAAGATCTAGTTTCAAAGATGTTGACATGAGAAACGTAACGGTGAAAACAATTATGATTAAGATGCCCGGTTCGAGATAAATTGTTTTGGAAAATCAAATCTGTTGAAAAAGGCACAAACAAATCCACCCGCCTCTCATGGGAATAAATCTCACCAAAGATCACTAATCTTATCACCATCGGAGGAGGTGCGGTACAACTCCCCTGACATACTATATAGTGTGCAGTTGGGTCACTGACGCACATTGCAATACATCAGACGATCCATGTCCAAGGGGGTGGGGGTGAGCTTTGCAGTGGATACCCCTTAATTAGTGATTAAATTATTTCAGTTGACTTCTTCGTTTTAAGTCAATTATTATACTTTTTGGGCCTGATGTTTTCCATTATTATGGGCCTTACAGGATTGGTCACCTCACCTGGTTTGTTCTCTGTGGCGTAGTCTAAATGAACGATTTCAGCTTAGGATCCTATATGACGCCCATCTGCGTCCGATCGTCACTGTTTCGTTGAAGCGAAGGGCTGGCCCACTTCGAGCGAGCACCATGTTTTGGGAACCTTCTAGTAGGTTCCCTGAAACATTTTTTTTCTTTTGCCGATTTTTTTTCTTTTTTCCTGTTTTCTTTTTTCTTTTTTCTTTCTTTTTCAGTTTATGTTTCAATTTGTTTTCTTTTTTCCTTTTCTTTGATCTTATCATTTTTCGTTTTTATTTTTTATTTTTGTACTTTGTCTCAAGAAAATGTAATGAAATCTTGTTCATGGTTTCAAAAAAAAATCACGGTTTTTCAAATTTTGTTCTCTTTCTAAAATTTGGTCACAATTTCAATTGTTCAGTGTATATCACAAAATGTTCAATGTGTGTTTAAATGTATGCTCAACATATATCACAAAATTGTTCAATGTGTAGTTAAAAATAGTACATCGTATATTACAAAAATGTTCAATGTATATAAAAAAATCGTCGTATACCACCAACATTTTCAATGGGTTTTAAATATTGTTCAGCATATATCACAAAAATATGCACTGCGTAGTTAAAAATTGTTCAGCGTACATTACAAAATGTCCAATTGCATAATTGAAACTTGTTCATCATATATATAGAAATTCAATAAATGTACGGGTTTTCAAAATTTTGTTCATGTTTAAAAAAAACAGGTTTCAAAAGTTTGTTCGAATTTTGGTATTTGTTCCAAAAAACATTATTCATTTTTTAAGGAAGATTAAAAAATGGGCCTGCCTCTGTACATAGTACTTTTAGTCTAGCATTGTATTTTAAGACAGTCTCAATTGCTAGCTGCAGCGGTTGGCGATGCGACTATCTAGCGTTAGGTTGCGGGTTTGAATATATCTATCGCTGGAATTTTTCGTGACATTTTTATTATGTTTGCTTCTCGCTTGTTAATGGGTTGGCCCGTTTCCGCGAATCCTTTAGCGAACGGTCTTCATTTCGACGCTCATGAGCGTCGAGCAGGAGCTCTCTTCAGCTTGCTCGTTCTTTTCCATTTTCTTATGTTGTGTTTGCGTGCGTGTAGGGGCGATGGGGTGCGCGTGTGTGTAAAAGTGTTCATATGAGAGGGAAGACCAAACCATCGACATTAGATACAATTTTTTTACATGTTGAGAGATGTTAGAGTTTTCCTGATTGAACGCTGAGTATAACATGAACAAATACATGCAAATTCAACATCTTGATTGGGGCTGTGCGGCGGTGGCGATGTCCCATGTTTTATCCTCGTCCCGATGGTGCTTCTAGCATCATCGAAGGATGCGCGAAGGTGTGTCTCCATTGAATCTCGCATGATTCGATCGGTCCTGGTCTTCAGTGGATCTGTTGGATCCAGTCTTTGTACGTTTTCGTTTGAGTGTATACACGCTTGATCCTTCTGATCTATGACTTTCTTCATCGGCGATGGTTGTTGCTCTGGTGCGCTGGTCCTATGAGGCCTTAGCATGATGATTTCCCGATTTTCTACTACAACAAAGTTTGCCCGGCTCCAGTAAGGGAGGGGCGATGACGGCAGCATGCCTTCGGCTCGCTCCAGTGCTTATAGTCGTCACTAGGTTGTCCACGAACATGGTTGTAGTTTTTATTACCTCTGTTATTCTTTGTACTGTCATGATTAAAGGTAAATAGATTGGAAGTTTCTCACGAAAAATGCAAATTCTATATAATTTGTATGAAAATATACAATTGTCTAAAAAATGTTAGAGTACCATACATTTTGTTTTTTAATTGTAGTTGTGGTGTCCTATGAATTGTAGTTGTCGGACACCCAGTCTTTCATGTGTCCCAGCCCGCGACACTCGTCTTTCTTTCGTAATTAATGCCGTCATTACTCCTCTCGAGACCGTGGATAGGCATTGGCAGTACCCCGCGGCCCAGCCCACCGCCGCATCATCTCCTTTCCCTGCTCACCAGGGGCGCGATGGACGCAGCGCGCACGTTGACGGCGCCGATGCTCCACGCGTCACCATCCGCGACCATTCCCCGTCGCCCCCGTC